TGAAATATTTGAACGAATGTTTTGTTATATCGTGTTATACGTTAGGTCATGTTAACACCAAATATTTGAAAACTTTATGAGTTTACAAATCTTAAAGTAATCATCATAAACAGAACATAAAAGAGGGGCTTTATCTACAAGGTGTCCTAAAATATCACGTACAAAGACGTTTATTTCATGATACAAACACACACATTTGGGACAGCGAATTTGAATTGATTCAGTTGCTTTTTTCATAACTATAACCTGTAAAATCTACTATGACCAGCAATAAAATTATATTTCCCATACAATACACATATTATGTGTACAAAAATATATAATTAATTACCGCCTGAATTTAAAAATATGCTAACTATTTATCTTCTGGAAAAGGTTGTCCGCATTCTCTTTTATTCCGTTCAAGAATATTTTGACCGCAAAAATAATATAGATATATAGAAATATATTTGAAATTTAAATTGGTAATTCAGTTTATTGAATGGCAGGATGTTACTAAGATCAAAACGTCTTCTAGCAAACCGTGCCAAACGCTATGCCAACTAAGCCACGGAACGAACCAGCGCCAGCGGAAGTTACGAGTTTTTCTATATGATTGTTTCAGACCTTTGTTTTTGGTTTTTAATGACTTTTTGTCGTAGAGCCGTCTGTGAGAGATCTATTTCTTCACTCAGCCAAGTACCTTTACAGCTACCAGCAGCTGACTACAAATGTCGCTTTAATAATAATTATGTTTATTGAAAAGTGGCGTTAATTTTTTTTTGTGAAATTACGTTACTAGTTATTTAAAATTATTCTATCTTTCTATTAAAGATAGTTTCGAAGGATTTTTTTCTATATATTCGATCTCTGAATTCGGGCCATTCCAAAGTGACGGGTGCGACATTTTGACTCTTTTTTTCTCGAACTTTAAGCAATTTCTCCCTAACCATTGGTTAATTGGACTTAAAATGAAAATATCATGAAGCCAGATATGCAACTCAACCGCGACTATTTATTAACATAAATTTATGATCCTATTTATACTCAAAATTTTTAAGTTTCTAAGTAAGGATGGAACACTCACGACACGCGCCTGTTTGAGTTGAAGGCTTCATTGCCAAGCTCAAGACAAACTATTAATATTTTGTTCAGCAAGTTTTTCATATGTGAAAACTTGAACGTTAAAGTTCTACTTTATATATACACTTCATTAATAACTTTGATACATTTTAAGGAAATAATATGTTAAGTTGTGACGGGTGGGACATGATTTGGGTGGGACGAGTTACAATTGAATACAGAGAATTGATAAAATTACACTGTTTAATATAAGATCCATCATTAGTAAGCAAATATTTTATAATTTTTCTCATACTAAGACATTTTAACACAAAAAAAAAACAGAATAAAAGAACTATTAAAGTAATCCTATTATTTTTCTATCTTATCTATGACAACATGAAATCAAAGTCACGCATGTAAAATGCGTTAATAAATTTGAAAAATTCTGCCGCATCCTTGATACGGCAGAATTTGAAGAAACCGTTGAAAAAAAGTACAAAGACACGACGCAAGCACATAGAAAAATTCGTGAGGTCTGTTGGTTCGTTCCGTGGCTTAGTTGGTATAGCGTCTGGCACGGTATGCAAGAAGACGTCGGTTCGAATCCGACCGGATCGAAGGAATTTTTTCTGAGTGTTCGAACTTTGTATTAATAATTATAACAAACTTGTGGAGTAATTTCACAAAAAATATTGAATATCAATTTAATAAAAATTTAATTAATACAGTGAATAGCGACATCTCTCGCCAGGCCTGGTAGCTGTAAAGGTAGTAACTGGGTGATAAATCTGTCACAGATTTCTCATCGATGGCGCTACGACTAAAAAGTCGTTGAAAAACCAAGTACAAAGACACGACGCAAGCACAGAAAAATTCGTGAGGTCCGTTGGTTCGTTCCGTGGCTTAGTTGGTATAGCGTCTGCCACGGTATGCAAGAAAACGTCGGTTCGAATCCGACCGGATCGAAGGAATCTTTTCTGAGTGTTCGATCTTTGTATTAATAATAATAAAAATATATATGTTTCATTGTGACGGGTAGGACTTGAAATTAGTATTTATTGAAACTTTAATAACTCTTCACCATATACATTTACTTCCATGCAATCACTTATCACAGTTTTAAAATTCTATTTTCTTCGACAGTAATCACTTATTTAGAAAGAAGCACAAATAACCGCGAAAATTATTGCTAACATTATAGGAAAAAATGTGTCACCATAGACGATTGCACTATGGCTGCGTTAATGAAGAGAAAAAAATAGAAATCTCATTTATTTCTAATGATTTGATTTATTGGGCGTGTTCTAGTCATATAATTAAAACCAAATTATGTAATTTATTTTTTTGAACCGCGGTGTCATTTTCGCTGGAATTACCCTTATGCAAATTGGTAATTTAAAAATTTTAATGCATCAAGAATTGTTTGTGTCTATATTAAATATATTATAAAATTTCATGCTGTAACCAGCTAGTTTTTTTTTATAATATCCTGTGACGGGACGAACAAGTCGTTCGCCTGATGTAAAGCTACACGCTTGTCTGTAAAAGTTGCAGTGCCACTCAGAGCTTTAAGCCGCAAAGATCTGAGGGGCACTGCCACTACGCCCGTCACCCTGAGACACAAATTGGCAAGTCCCATGTACCTGTAATTTCACCAGCACCCTTACTCTTTAAAACCGGAACACAGCTATGCTGAACAATGCTGCTTGGCCGCAGAAATAGGCAATGTGGCAGTAAATGTGTGCGAATCTATTATTACAAATATGTACATCACATTCTTGAAACCACACTAAGTGCGAATAAAATTTATCATTTATCAAGTTTCCACTCAAGCGCAGCCGATTTTTCATTTTCAGATTTCACATTTGTCTTGTTCCAAAAGAGGTCGATCAGGATGTGATCCATGAACACGCTTTACATTGACATGTGATGAATATTTCCTTCTGTGTTGTAAACTACGCTTAATAGTGTGGTTAACAATGACACAACTATACAATATTTAAAGAGGTACTAGTGTGGTTGCCGCAATAGGTATTTGTAGAATTCACACTGTTTTCCCATCTGAGATTCTGCAAGCTTCATGGTGACTTTTAACTTACTAATTTGTTCTTAGTATGGATCTCACAGTATCTAATTTTGTAGTGACTTTTAATTATTGTAAAAAGAATTATAAGTACTATCAGTAAAGATGACGCCTTCCCAGTCCAAGACAGTTTAGTTTGCAAGCAGAGATTGTAGCTAGCCCCTTATCTTACTTTTGTGAAAGCCCTTAAATTTCCAGTGATTGACAAAAACAAGAATATTAAAGAATACTACAGAGTACTATAAAAACCGACCTCAAACATTCATCCCCTATATTGCCACCCTTAGAGGTGGAATATTTTCTTCAAATTTAAATGAGACCACACTTGAGGTACCCTATTTCAAACAAAAAAGAATGATCAAAATCGGTTTACAAATCGTCGGAGTTATCGCGTGACATACATACATACAAAAAAAAATTTAATCGAATTGAGTACCTCCTCCTTTTTTGAAGTCTGTTAAAAATATAAGTGTTTGAGTAGCAGTAGAGCTTTACTGCGTTTAGGTTTTGAAGGATACGGGTGCTGATGAAATTACAGGCACATTGGACTTGTCAACTTATGTCTCAGAGTGACAGACGCAGAGGCAGTGCCCCTCAGATTTAAAGCTGTGAATGGCACTGGGACTGTTATGGACAGGCGTGTAACTTACCAACATCAGGCACAAGACTTGTTCGTCCCATCACTTGACATTATAAAGAAAGAAAGAAAGAATTTTTAAATGTAGTTTCACTTTCACCGGTCTTTCTTCTCTTCGACACTCAATTGGACGTAACGCTTTATTTCCTCCTTACTAATGCGTCAGACAAAGGAATGAAATACAGTATGTGTGTTCCACGAACAGCAAACTTAGGGCTATTCAAGGTTTGAGCAAATAGTCATTTTATAAACAAACGCGTACCATTGACAGGCGGTGGGTGGCCACTACTGACCACAGTTGCTTGCACGTAAAAATAACTCCAAAGAAGGTAAGGCGTCGATTTTTCTAATCATCCTGATACATCCTATATTTAATTACAAATTTTAAGTACCTCTGCTACAATTATTAAAATACTTATATTCAAAACAGCTTTATTAAGTTCATATAACTTTGCCATGTGAAGTTGCTTAATGCTTAGCACAAGCAAACAAATACACTCACTTTGGCGTAGAGAAAACACGGATCCTTTGAGAACAATGAAACAAGTTTTTAAGTAAACAGTGTCTTTATTTTTCTAACACAATCCTTAAAACGTGCGCGTAATTAGTTTAAACAGAACCACATGTAAATGGTACGTATTACCATTTATAATTTAGAGAATACGTAGTAGATTGTACAGCAGCAGTATTTTATTATGAATAAATGCGATATCCTTTGAAATTCGTGAAACAAAAACTTCCGACGTGAAACATGCAATTAAGCGAAGCACAGTAAAATAAACAAAACTGCCCTGGGACCAAAACTCTGCTGTTTACTTGGGAAAACTGGGAACTATCGTTCCGAGATTATTTTTGTTTGCAGTGCACCCGCTGAGAAATCATACTTTGTATTTACGTTACTTACAATGCGAACCATTTTATAATATTCTCACCTCTTTGTAAATAGCTGTATGTCGTTGGAAGACACATCATTGGCACATCAAAACAGTTTGATACGAATTACCATTTACACTAGATTACATCACTACTTAGTAATTTTTGTTGCGAAATCTAAACTTACAAACTATTGACTTACAATTATATGGACGTCGGGTCCGCACTAAAAAGTGTCCAAACTTATAGGGCGTTAAAATCGTATACAGAGAGTCATTCACGCTTTAGTCTTCGTTTGTTCGACTGACAGCGAAGCAAGCAAAATTAGACAGTACTGCGATGACATTACAGTTTAAATTCAACTTTTTAGCTTTTTCATATTCCTTTACATGTCACTACGTTTAAATAGGTTGACTTGGGACATTTTTTTCGTGGTTTTTGTATTAGACCCGTCGTCCATCTAATTGTAAGTCAATGTTACAAACATAAGTTTAGATTCTAGTGCTAGTCCAAGAAAATAGGCTGCTAACAGGTTGTATGTTAGCTAACAGGTATGTAGTCAATCTGCTGGCAGCCTTAGTTTCCCATTACTAGCATGTATTTCCTCTGAACAAAGTCCGACACGTCCGCCACGATGGCCTAATGTAGTTGGGACCTTCACACATTTTCCTGGAGCTATAAATCTTCTTCGAGGTGTAAGTTTCATCACAATGTTTCCCTTCATCGTTAGTGAGAGGTATAGCCTTGCCTCAGAAATTGAAGTCTTAGGATCAGGATCATCATCGAACCAACGACCTTTAGAGAAGAAACCTTTCTCCTACTAGACTACCATGATCTTCCACAAGTTAACACATTTAATTAATATTTTGGTGGGTTTTGATCTATGTAGAACTCTTCTGGGAAATAACCAACACCCAACTCATTTCCTCTTTTGAATTGAAAAGTAAGGAGAACGACCGCAAACGCTGGCACATAAGACTAAATAACTTAAGATGAAGATGAAATTGTTATAACCTGGATACTTCTTTAGGATAACAAATGTTTATAAGCTGTGCTAAGCAGTGGTTACCACTTTCGGGAGATCACAATAGACCAATTGATTTTCGCAATGATGAAAGGCTGCATAGACCTTTAGTAGCAGTAGAGCTTCTTGTGCAAGAGTTCGTCCAGAGAAGTATTGTCACGTTACCTATTTCTGCCCCTAAGCAGTATTTGATCTTTACAGCTATGAATGGCACTGCAACTGCTATAACAGGCGTGTCGCTTACGAACAGGCACATACTCTTGTTCATACAATTGGTATCATAAAAAAGAAAAGCTACCATGGTACCATTTTTATGAGGTGGACCGTGTGATAACTTGCCCGTTTGCTTATTAAAAAACGTGTTATTGGTTTTTATTACCAACCTTCTACCAATGACTGGAATTAGTGAACCACACTGACTAAAACATCATTATCAAAGTAATTCAAATTGTGGTTAATCTCACACAAGGTTAGGCTCCTAGTTATCTTAAAATCAAATCTCTATTCATAACAATGTAAAAAATATGTGGTTCTGTTGATTGTCAGTTTTCGTCTAATTTTAGACTCCAGTATTAAGTCGAATCCAATTACGAACACTGGCAACTCTTGTATAAACGCCTGGATAACCGGCACGTGCACATCCAATACCGAATGACACAATACCGAGTTGTTTATCTTCGCTTTCTTGAACCGCAGGGCCACCTGAATCTCCCTAAAAATACATTTAAACGTTGGTATTCAGGCATTAATGTGGTAAGATTCAGGAAGTCATTAATCGTCAAAGGCTTCGAAAAGGCCCTAAAAAAGACCAATGGGTGGATATCGCCTACCTGGCAAGAATCTTTGCCTCCTTCAGGCACTCCAGCGCAAAACATTCTAGCAGTGATGCCGCCTCTGTAAGATTTGTTGCAATCTTCGTTCGAAACCGTTGGAACCGTCACAGCCATTAAGTTGTTACTGGTTTCACCGTTTTCCTAAAATAATGTTCTTACGTATGAGTTAAAAGTCCTGCGTCATAAAAGTACCAGAAGCTCATAAACATGGTACAGTAAACCTTACCGAGGTGGTTCCCCATCCTGATACCAAAATCTCTGTACCAGGACTAATTGGCTCCGATTGCATTTCTGAATCAGCAAGTTTGATTACTCTTGATTTTGTCCCATCCAGTGTCATGGCTCGCGAGACTCTTATGACCCCTACGTCATAGTCGCTTGTCTGACTATTGTATTGAGGATGCATTTGTAGCAATGCTGAATTGTACATTGTACCTCCGCTATTCGCTTGTGTACTACCAATTCGGATATACGCTCTTTGTATGCTAAAATTTAATAAAAGAGAGATATGGCATAAATAGGTATAGGGGTACTTTTAAAAGCCCGGTCCATTGACTTACAAATAAATGGCCGACGGGTCTAATATAAAAACCACGAAAAAAATGTCCCAAGTCAACCTATTTAAACGTAGTGACATGTAAAGGAATATGAAAAAGCTAAAACGTTGAATTTAAATTGTAATGTCATCGCAGTACTGTCTAATTTTGCTTGCTTCGCTGTCAGTCGAACAAACGAAGACTAAAGCGTGAATGACGCTCTGTATACGATTTTAACGCCCTATAAGTCCGGACACTTTTTAGCGCGGACCCGACGTCCATATAATTGTAAGTCAATGGCCCGGTCACTATGAATAATAGTGGGTCCATACAGGCAATGTAATACAAACAGCATGATTAACCTCTTTGTCCGATCAATCTGAGTAATGACCATCCTGTCTTGGTCAAAGTAATAAAGCAAATTGTCTGTAGTGTTACGCGTCCAGCTAGAAAAAGGAACCAATTCATACTGCCCGGTCGAAGTGATAAATTCACGCCATCTGTAGCCTCGACTTTTAAATGGACCGCGGGATGTCGAAAATTATTAATATGGACAAAAGTAATTTTATCAATTTGGTCGATGCTCTTCGTCACTATTATAATGACCGGTCCGTATTAATAATGCCCGATTAAACATACTGCCAGTAACACACAAACATATGTCGTCTCAAACGAATTTCAGCCTTTTAGATCTGTTGTGAACCATACTGTCTGTATGGGACTTGAATATGCAGAAAAACAATAGAGCCTTCATTACGATGCAGCTTCAGCACAATTGCAATCTCGTTTGCCAAGCTGACCGGGGTATTGTAGTTTATTTCACTTGGTATTGAAAATAAGATTCAAAAGGTCTTTGACGGTCCCGCACAACGTTTATGAGACATTGTTAAAGATATTAGCATTCTAATTTCTAATGTTTATTCTGTATAAAAATCCGGTGTTTCTGAATCAGCAAGTTTGATTACTCTTGCTCTTGTCCTATCCAGCGTCATAGGTCGTGAGACTCTCATAACCCCTAGATCATAATCGCTTAGCCAGCTTAATAAAATAGGTAGCCTAATGATATGACCTACCACCTTTCAAGCAGAGGCCGTGGGCTCTAATTCGGGCTCGCACCTTTCAATTGCACGGAATTTATGTACGAATTTTAATTTGAAATTTACCAGGAGCTTTTCCGCGAAGGACAACATCGTGATTGAACAAGAATGTCGAAGAAGGTTCATAACACTTGAAAAACGTGTAAAGTGCCTAACCAGGCATTGGGCCAGCGTAGCAGAATATGGCCTAAATCACAGGTTCCCAAAGTTGTTGACTCAATTAAGCAAGATAAAAGTCAACTCCCACCACGTGAATACACGTATTTTCTATATTAACACAAAAAACCACAAGCATGAAAAAAGATCTGATTTTTATTTCAAATGCGGTAGCACCATCTGGACAGCATCAACACTCCCAATTGCTACCCCTACCGCCACTCTAGGACTCTTCTACGCCTACTGGGGGTAGAGACCTAAATTAAATTATGGCCTAAACCTTCTCCTGAGAGGGGACCCGTGCCCAGTGGGACGTACAAGTGGATTGATGATGAATATTCTATACTTAATATACTAAATATAAAAACTTCACTGTGAATCCTTAAAATGTATCAAATATACAAACACATACCCTTTCAAACAATGAGCAGCAGTCAAAATGTATCGATTGCTGATTATTGAGCCTCCACATTGGTAGTAGTCATTTCCTTTCTGCAGCAGCAGGTAAGCTTGGTACGGAATATTCTGGATGGTGGTATTATAACCACCGACTATCTTTCCGTCATGGAACGATTTGAATTGCCGGCGATGCTTGTCACCTAGGACATCTAAAATATACGAGTAAATTTATAACGTTACCGTCCTTTAATATAGTTTCAATACTTATAATATAGTGTAAACAATTAAGTAAATAGGAAATCAAGTAGTTCTTCTTATCCTATCAATAGCTTACGTTATTTTGATTGCTTGCCATCGTGGCGAAAGGTTCAGGTTGCACGCCTGGTATGTACAGTAAAGAAATACGTCGTGCAAGGAGTCTCCTTTAGTGCATCCGTTGAGTAATTAATATCATGGAAGTTGTTAACCGACTTCGAGAAAAAAGGAGGGTCTCAATTCGACTGTATGTTTTTTCTTTTTTGTATGTATGGTATGCGATAACTCAAAAAAACAAAATTTGTGAACCGATTTTGAATGATTCTTTTTTGTTGGAAAGAGGGTACCTCAGTAGTGGGCCCATTTTAATTTGAAGAAAATATTCCTCCTCTAATGGTGGCAAATAGGGGACGAATGACTTTTGAGGTCGGTTTTTTTATATAACAATTGTAACATACACATACCGGCACGCGAAGTCATCCTTGAACCTCGATCATAACACAAATGAATGAAAATAATGACAGTCAACTATTTTTGTTATTTTCAAATTATACCTAAAATAAAAAAAACGGCAAAATTTTTGAAAAAAGCGCTGCATTATTTTACGGATTTACGATTGTTCTCTTAATTGTGCCGATAAGTGTAGATTGTCTTACTGCTATAGAATAGTGAAAACAAATCGTACCTTGACTGAAAGTAAAACAAAATAGGAGAACAACAAAAAAACACAACTTATTCATTTTAATGAAATGTACAATGTGCGAAAAATGTTAGACGAAGATGCTTAAATACTGTCAAGGATTGTCATTATTTTCAAGTAAACTGCTAGTTACCGTTTAGCTTAAGGACAATGCCAATTATTATCCATCATTATTGATAAGAAAGGTATTTAAAACCGATCTTCTTTTATCTTTTCACATTGTTAATGTCACATTTAATCGTGGGAAAGAACCGATTTTAAATATTCATTGCTGTGACTTCTTGAGTAAACATATCCCATGCAGATACGTGTTAATTAGTTGTGTTTTTTACTATTTTTTTGTACTTAATGTCATGATGATTTTAGTAATATGATATTGTGAAAACTTGTGTGCAAAACAGCCGGTTAAACCCAATACCCAAAGATCTGCTACCTGGACCCGTACCTAAGTTGGTAAGAAATTTAGTAATAGTAGAGCTTCTTGTGAAAGATTTCGTATAGGAAAATACTGCCACTGCATTACTGCATTCCGGTTTTGAAGAGTAAGAGTACTGGTGAAATTATAGGCACATGGGACTTGTGTCTCTTAACTTAACTTATGTCTCAGGATGACGGCGGCAAATCTGCAGCCATCTGCAGCACTGAATCCAGTGCCCCTAAGATCTTTGCGTTTAAAAGCTCTGAGTGACACTGCAAATGTTATGGACAGGCGTGTCGCTTACAACCAGGCACACACGGTTCGTCCCGTCACTTGATTTCATTAAATATCATTCTTCATGAGAATCTCCCATCACTTAAGGCTCTATAGATACGTATTATTAACGTAAATTATTTTTAATTTTAATAACTTACATATTAGCCAATTGTCAATAAACACGTTTTCGATATGAGTGATTTTACTTAATATTATAATAGTCATGTAAATGTTAATCAATAATGTGCTAGACAACTATACCAATTGCCTGTTCTCAAATTAGTGAGTCCCCTGTACTATGAGTACCTAGCAATGGAAATAACTCCAGGGCACTACCTAGACCTCCCAGACCCGAACAAAATTAGAAAAGTTTTTTACCAAATTGGTCCTACCGGGGATCGAACACGAGACATCCGCATCAAACGCCCACAGTGTAAACCGTTGGGTTACCGAGGTCCTCAGAAGATATCATTCACGACACAATTTTATTGAAGAATTACTACACCAACACTAAAATTGTCTGGCATTGAATTACCTCATTTAAAACGCATACATAAAGATATTTTTTTATTACAATGCTAAAGTAATTATGTACATACCAAAACGCCTACCACTATTGGAGTAAACAAACATCCTCTCGGTTCGTCCTTAATATAAATATCTATGAAACACTTCTATCAGAGGATATTCTTTTGGTTGCATCCCCCATTCCAGATATTAGATTTCCATCCTAAGGTTGTCTGGAAGAAATTGCTACTGGGCAATAAGGCTGCCTGTTATAAATTAGCTTATTATGTGGTACTTACATTACCGTTCTGTGTTGTACCATTGTATTTTTTTAATATGCAATGAAGAGCATATAATTAATTCACTTCACTTATGTCCTGCAGTTCTCCCACTTGCACCAGCTTTTGACGTGACATTTAGTACCTAACAACCTCAATCTGGTCGAGATATTTAGGCCGAAGAGTAGGTTTCCCCACGACCACTATAATTCTCGTAGCAGGAAAGCTCCTTGTGAAAGAGTTCGTCCAGGAAAGTACTACCACCTTACCTTTTTCTCCCGCCAAGTAGTAATGTCAGCATTACGGTGTTCCGATTTATAAGGTGCTGGCGAAATTACAAGCACATGGGACTTGTCAAGTTATGTCTCAGTATGACGGGCGCAGTGGCAGTGCCCCTCAGATCTTTGCGACTTAAAGCTCTGAGTGACACTGCAACTGTTATGGACAGGCATGTAGCTCACCACCAGGCGCACGACATGTTCGTCCCGTCACATGATATGATAAAAAAAAGTTCTAGAAATTGGTAAATAAATCTTTTCCACATGACCAACCCATGGAAGCATTCCGTTTTCTATCGTAGTCACTACATTATTTTTCAGACCACAACGTTCTTTTATTACACTACTCCACATTAAGTTTCTAGGTCTTGAACCTCTCAAAGGAGAAAAATACTATGTTAGTACAGTGTGCCTAATGGGCTGCACTTACCATTCTAAGTACCATTTTTTGTACGACGAGAGCAAACTTTTAAAGAAAAATTCACTTTTGAAATATAAAATAGCATAAGGAAGTCCACAAAGGAAATATGATAGTGTATAAAGTACAGCGAATATTATTAACAATTTTTAATCGAAGAAGAATACAGTGTGCCACGCAAATCATGATTTAATTTTTCTTGTTCGATTTTTGTATCAATAAATAGAGCAGCCTCCGTAGTATGCCGCCTCGATAAAGCGCAAAATTTAAAATTTTATCACAATATTTATGTCATCGCGAGCGCCGCGGCCAATTACTGCAATAGATTAACACAGTGCCAAACATAGCAAGGTCACAGTTGATTTTAATATATTTTGACAGTTCTGCACAGTAATTTTATCAACGTAAAAATTGAGCGCGACAAACGAAATTAAAAGAAATAATACAAAAAACAAATTGATAAATATGTAAATTAATGGAAAAAGGTGAGGTAGAAATACGTGAATAATAACTAATATAATGTAAAATGTGTAAAAACAGAAACTACAAAATCCCGACATTTTTTAATTCATCCTTTTCGCGGCGATGAGTAAATGACAAAGATAGCTAGCATTTTCATATCGTTGTCCTTATTCTTTGAAATGTATAACGATAGTTCACTACCAAATAAGCAAACTTACAACTGAAATAAATATTGTCACGGGGAGGTTTATCACACATATCGCACTGTTAATACAATAGGTAGTGTGCTAACTCAAAAAGTGTATTTTTTCAGAATCGATGAAATACGACTCACTTCCCGTGATAGATCATTAAAATTGATGTATGGGTTAAAGTTTATTATAGACATCTAAACAATTTCGTACTGGCCAAATATATTTATAAGTAAAAGGGAAGAAATAATTTCATATTCTTGAATAAAGATAAAAAAACATACAGTTGTTTTGGACAGAACTACCTCACATACAGTTTGTCTCATTTTGTTTCTTACAATATTCTAACGACGGTTTTATTGGCGTGTAGAGAATAAAATTTTACTTTCAGCAAATTATATGATCTTGATTTCACGTATTTTGAGTTACAACACTATTGTAATAGCAGTGCGATATACTGCCATGCTACAACCACAGACTAGTGGAATATTTTCACAAAAAATGTATGATAGTAAAAATATCAGCATATTTAATACACAAATTATATTTCAAATTACTGTTTTTTTATTATTTTAAACTGTATTATGTGAATGATTGTGTTTATTTATAAAGTATTTGTTAATGCGAATTTTCAATGTATGCCTTTATTTTGCGTTATTTTTTAACTGTAACATCCTTTTGCCTATCTTTCTTATGTATGCTTAGAGGTGGAAGGGTGAGAGCCTGGTTCTCTATAATACAGGTTAATCCTAGTATTTACACCAGACTCACAAATGAAACTATCAGACCATGGGTATATAAGTATAAGTTTCTTTTGTAAAAAATAAAAAGATATTTTCATTTTTTTTCAATTTAATGTGTATTTGTGTTGAATAAACATTGTATTGTATTGTATCTAATACAAATATTACTAAATTAATTGAAGTTTCAAATGCAGTAATAAGTCCATTATTACATTAAACCCGTTATTGAATGTGACTCTCAAAAGTCTAGTAATAACAATATATCAAAGCGGAATTCCTATAGAAAGGCAATTTACTATTGCTATTCATGAAAAGATATGCATCTATAAATAATTATGATGCGATAACGTCATTACTAGGTTCAATGTCGGTGCTGTCGTGCGCGGATGTATGTTTAATTACAAAATAAATTGTTTAAGACGGTACATAGAGCGCATGCGTCAATCTTTAATTTGGTGAAAATTGATTTTGTTCCTAGCTGACTACGACGCGTGTACCGAACAATTAATTTAATAAAAAAAGGTTGTATACATGGTGTCAATAAAAGAATGTCTGATGGAGAGCTTTAAAACATTTGACGCCCAATTTGTGGCACAACGGTTAGTAATGTAGGCGCTGAGAAGATTCAAGTTTCGATTCCCGATAGTTCTGGTTATATGTAAATATGAGCCCTATACCCCACCTATGGTGGGCCGGGCTCGGCCTCGCTCTTCGGTGGCACAGCGGTTAGTACTACGAGCGCTCGATGAGGAGGTTCCAGATTCAATTCCCGATTTGAGCCAATTTATGAAACAAACATTTTTAAGTTAGTTCTGGTCAGGGTATTCTGGGTATTGCCCTCAAAGCTAACGTTACTCTTGTAATTATAGTACGGGAAATAACCTAGTTTGAGCCCAGAAATTTGGTGTGATTGTCTGGCATTTTTTTCCCCTAAATGCTCCTCTTTGACATAGCTTCTAAGACAAAAGAATCTAACAGAGAGACGGTCGAGATACAACAACGTTATAAGTATCTCATTTCCAATACATCGGGAAGTATGCCTTACATTTTAAACAATTATGAGATCTTGTACTCGTGGTGTGCGGACGCTCCGGGCTTCGCCCTGCACTGGACCTCGGCACTTATGACTTTGTTTTAAAAAAATTACATTAAATATTGGGCATCACGTATGTTGTTTTGATCCCAACATAAATAACTAAAGCACTTGTGTAATGGAAATCGTCAACAACGACGGTACCACATACGCCAAGATCTGAGACAATATAGAAAGGTTTTTTTTTACATCGACCCGGCCGGGGATCAATCTCGAGACTTTAGAGTTGACAACACCATAAAAACCGATATGCAAGCCAATCGACCACAGAAGTCATCAAAATCAGTGGTCCATATGGGAGATTTATTGCTCATCGTATAGGATATATCCTAGTTCAAAACACGGTTACCGGACTCGTTTCTAGATACATCATTATTACTAATATACAATCATTTAAAAAAAATAACTTTCGTTTAAATTGTCCGATCAGCTCAATCAATTTTGATTTGCGTGAGAGAAGAAATATTTCGTGAATTGGATTTCAGTTCCTTGGAATTTAAAACGTACTTATTTTTAACACCCTATATATGAAGTTTATTCCATGGATATGTGTAAGAACAAAAAGGTTTTTAATTTATCTACATCTAAGGTCTTGAATAATTATATAAAAGTAAATTGAAGCGACACCCCATAAAAAAAATATTGCAAATTGATCTTTAACAGAAGGCCAAATAAAGTTCACAAACACAGGTCATTTGAACCTCGGCACATTAGTCATTAAAAATGTTTTTCCATTAGCAAAACAACAACAAACAAGATAAAACTTTTTTAAACTTAATCTAAGTTTCGTTGTCGTTTTCACAAAGCCTAAGTGAAAGAAGTTCGTATTGAACTTTAAGCATTTGTAATCCACGCTTTATCTCTTTTAATTTATAATTCTTTTTCTTTTGTTATACAGAAATTTGCACATAATGTTACAAAATTTTTCTTCCATAAATTTGGTTAAAAACCATTAAAACAAACCAAGCATTAACGATGACACAAGCGCCCTAGTTTTTGTTACTAATCAGATTTGTATCCACGTGCAATTTAAATAAAAAAGCAAGTGTACTACACAATAGGTTAATCGTAAGGCGCCTTGGGAGAACGTTCAAGTATATATCAAGTATACATATATACCACATAACAATCATTCACATAATTTAAATACGGGCACATTTCAATGTTGCTTATATTAGGAGCTTGAATATTTAGACCTTGTGACTAATATTTTAAGATTATAAGATGAAATTTTTGAGCTGCGGCTGACAAGGTACCTCATTTCTTACTTATTACAGGTAAGTAGAAACGTTGGGCAAGGCAGTTGTCAGCCCTGGGATCTTCCGGTCGACAATAGTTTTTTCGATGTGATTTTATACAATATATCGATTTCTTTTCACATGGAAAAATCATCATCAACCCCGTACACGTCACATTTCTGGGCACAGGTCTCATCTAAGGAGCGGGTCGGGGACTTTACACTTTTTCCAAAGGTTGTGATGATTCTTCTTTTTACGTAAATAAATATTAGACAACATCACACACGTTGCTCTGATGTTAGCTATTTACATCTTTATAAATAAATGTTGGTTAACATTTAGGTTTCCGTAATTATATATTTTGACATCAGTAAGATCTCCGCCTTTCGAAGTAATTGTTCGAAGCTGTAAAATATGGCTTATTATTTGCAAATAAGGGTCAAATGTCAGGCGCGCTGGTGTCGTTCTTCGTGGAGTCTGACTCTTGAACATACATAGACGAAAAGTTACCTCATATTTCTGTCATAGGAGATTTCAATAAATATTTTACAGTATGGCTAATACTTATGTTTAAAATGTAGGAAACTATTCTCAATCGTTATAATGGGCATATGTAATATGTCTGTGACTGGCAGGCAGACTCACATATATAAGCGGTTTTTGCATTTCGATACCTCCAATGAATACTACTTCTTCTTCTTCTTTCTAGCCATTCTCAACAATATCGGTGTTGGTCTCCTTCAGTTTCTGCCACTTCTCTCGGTTCCGTGCCACCTGTATCTAATTGAACCCCGCCACTTGCAATATGTCATCCTTCCGACGCATCTGCCGTCTCACTCTGGAGCAATGAACACTACACCAATTCAATTTTTTGGTCATTTTCTGTTATTTTTGTAAACTGCTATATTAATTTACTAATATTATGCTCCCCGAATTTTCTGAAAAAAATAATAAAGAAACAGAAAACAACATTCGAAAAAAAAAACAAAAAAACGAGTTTTGTGAAAAAATAAAGAAACAAAATAAAACCAGAACAGGTCCAAAAATTAAATTGGCGTAGTGTTAAGTGCAGGTATCGTTTTTTATTTATTTTACTTAGTTATATACCGTTTGACATACGTTGAACTTGCACCCAATGTTTGACAATGTCACTGACACAAGATCAGACTGAAGCGAATCAAAAGAAAGGACCGAGAATTCCCTGTCCTCTTATATAAAGCTTGAACCAAAGTCACGCCATGCGCTCACATATTATTATGTATACCACAACCGTGTAACCAATCGCGTGTACATATTACGACTAAATTTAAAGATAAATTTGAAATTCATGTGAAAGCGAAACCTCCCCTACCGAGATCTTGCATTGCAGGGTGTTAGTGGACGCTATCTGAAGTGAGTCGTAGCGTTGCGCAAAGAAAATGGCGACAGGAGGGTCACATAAGCCGTAAAACCGATAACAGGTGAAGAGGAAGAGTACTGGAGTGGAGTCCGAAAACCGATACCAGAAGCGTCAGTTGCCAGAAGGCTAGACGGATGGACGACATAATCAAAGTAACTAGAAAAAACTGGATGCATATAGCTCAAGACCAGGAAGAATGGCGTGCGAATGAGAAGGCCTATACTCACCAATGGCTGACTAAAGGCTGAAGAAGAAGTATAGGCTTTACCTAGTTTGTCTTTATAACGTCCTCGCATAGGCCATGGCAAATACTCAATACTTTATTGCCTACCATAATGTAATATACAAGACGGTAGTTAACATCAATTAAGATCAATAAAGACCCTGTAAGGGCACAGCAAAAGACAAAATCTAAATAAATTAAACTGAATCTAACTCTATCTACCCATTCTCAACTACGACGCACAAACCTGGTCGCTGACAGCCCGGAAAAAGTCCAAACTTGGGGTCTGCCAACGAGAAACGAGCGCAGCGTCTTGGGAGTTAAATTATCAGACTGAATTAGAAACAGTGATCTGCGCTCAAAAACACAAATCGCAGATGTGGATCAACAAGCGGGTAAACTAAAATGTGACAGGGCGGAGCACGTCTGCCGCATGTCGGACGAACATGGGCAAACCACATAATGGATCCCCGAAGGCAGAAAACGACCATCCGGCAGACCAAAGCGTCGATGGAAAAACGAGCTAGTCGCGCACCTAAAAGATTGGACCTTAGAGGTGCAAAACAGAGAGGTGTGGAGAGAGGGGAGGGAGACCTTAGCCCTGCAACAGTGCGACAGCCCCATGCCTTTCTATATAAGTATTTTTTTGTTTATAATGACCCTCCCTATCAACCTCTTGGTTATGCGGAAAGGTTACTATAACCTGTGCGAGCACGCCTGCACAGGGACCATTTAAGTCATGTCCTAACCCAGATCAGCCCGTTTGCAAGGACTTCATCCGCTTCTCAAAAGTGCTTTGCGTGAGCCGTACACCACACTCCCTATTTTCCAGATAGGTACCGGAGCTGTACGCCCGCTCACGTCCACCACCACCACTACTTATACTGATAGGCTTTAAGAAAAAAATCTAACTTTATTCAATCTATTTAGTCTTAACATTTCTTTAATAACTTCGTTTTAGACGACCAATGCCTACAAATAAAAAATATACGTCATTGTACTAAAACTGTATCAACCCGCATATGTCCAATCGACGTTTTAGGCTATAGCCCGCCACAAAGATCTAAAACTATTGTACGAACTGTGACATATTGTTATGTATGGACCGTGACATACCGCCGTAAGCGCCGATATGAAAAGTGCTCACGATTTACCAAATAACCGAAACGATGTGGAAACAGTCCAAAATATTGTCACGTGCGCAGGTGAACACGCGGCGGGCCGAAGGTCACCAATTGAGAAATTCACGTATGAAATATATGGCTGCTATAACAACGAAACCGTAGCAAAGCATTTGCATAATTTCATAGCTTAAGAAACCGTTTTGTTGATCGCTCTGTAATTGTATCGCTTGGTAATTGTATTTTATCAAGTATATTATCTATTCGTTACAGCGTATCAATTTCGTGGTGTTTCTTTTTTTTCGTTACCTTTGTTTGATATGAAAGGAACGTATTGCGATAGTAAAAGCAGTTTTTAATATTTGAAAATTGAATTAAGATAAAGTTTTTTAAACATTGTGCAATTGTACTTTTGGTATATATATATATATATATATATATATCAGCGGCGCTGAGAGCTACCACGACAGGGCGGGACTTACGCGAGAGCGACATAAAGCGATATGTCGCTCTTGCGCAAGTATCGCACAGCAATGTAATGATTTTTTATTTTGTATTCAAGTATTTAACAATCTACGGAATATTTTAGAACTGAAATGATATGTGCGTTAGTTCTCCTCTTTTTGAAAATGGCAGGCTGTAACAAATTATCAGCGGCGCTGAGAAACACTCCACCATTGGCTGAACTACATAGCTTTTATCTCCCACCTTACTACCTTACCTATTTCTGCCGCCAAGCAGTAATATCAGCATACTGTGTTCCTGTTTTGAAGGATGCTCGTGAAATTACAAGCACATGGGACTTGTCAACTTATGTCTTAGGGTGACGGGCGCATGGTAGTGCCCTTCAGATCTTTGCAATTTAACGCTCTGAGTGGCACTGTTATGGACAGGCGTGTTCACCATCAGGTGCACGACTTCTTCGTCCCGTCACTTGAAGTTATAAAAAAAAACTACTGTCTGCTACTTAAACTCTATCTAGGGAAGATTATTTATTTATTGATGTTTTGAGATAAATAAACGATTTAATCATTATTTGTTTTATGTAAAATGTAAAATTCTAGCTCTCATTTTTAAACATAAAAAAGTTATAGAAGAGTTAGTGGAATATTTAAAACTCTTTCCTGAAAAGTTGTAATTTTGCAAATATAACATTATTACACTAGAGGTGCGGAATGATGTACAATCTAATACAAGGCATTAACAAAACTCTGAAAAACTTTAGCCAGATATAAAAGTTTTATTCGTAAAAATGTTTTACATTTTACGTACATTTGGTGCTACAGCCTGGAAAAATTTATACGGTAAATCGAAAAACATTTGTATAGATTGTGTCCGACGTTCAAAAAGTTTCAACCAAGTAACTTGTGAAACAACAAAACTGGCACACGTTTTTAATATTTTTTATGAACAAATTTAGACTGGATACTCAAGTTATTAAATACCAAAATGTATTAGCAAAATTTACTTAACGTTTTCACGAGGTAACTTGTTGGAAAATTATATCGGAAAATTAGTAGAATCATGTTTACATCATAATCTTGATTAGCGCAAATTTCAAACAGCTGTAATAAAGCGTAACAAATGGGTATGCGGTAACAATGCGGTAGAGAAGTTAGAAGAAGACTTTACGATAACTATAATACTGGTAAATTTTTTGCCATTTAGAGTACGTCATAGAAATAATTATAACTCTTTTCATAAAAAAAAACCAAGTTCAAAAGTTTGTTTATCGCCTTTTCTATTTGAATTACATCTATTTGCCAAGTTTTATGGGAATCGGTTAACGGAGAGTGCGCGCAGCCGGATTCATCCTCTAGTTTGCCACTCTTGGAGGTGGAATATTTTCTTTTCAAAACACAAAAAAATCTGTTCACAAATCGCGTAACATACACACAAAAAATACAGTATAATTGCGAGCCTCCTCCTTTCTTTGAAGTCGGTTAATAAAAGACGACGTGACTAACAAAGCGATCAATATCTGACACGGTTATTTTGCTACACGATTTAGATGAGATCGTCAAATACTTATTTCATCCTTCCGCAGGCACTTAGTTTCAACATTCTCGCAAAGTCGGGTGAAAGTTAATACGGTCATCTACTGCTTTTGACATATAATAACGCCACACCCTATTACACCGAGGGTGTGTTTAAACTTAAAAAAGGAGACATGCCATTGTCAGTAAATAGAAAATTCGAGATTCGTTTCCCATATTTTTTTAATTCTAAAACATTAAAATGTGTATTCATTGAAAACATCGACAGGAAACGCTTTGTTTTCAAAAGCATTAGAAAGGGGAAACGTGACTATTGTACTAAAATAGATTTAATTGGCGTCAAGAGAATATCACTTAATGATGGCCGGAGCACAAGGAAAACGTGCTCCGAACCGCATTAATTTACCTACGAAAACGTAATTAAAATTTCTAACAATTGTTTTTCGTAATATCAGGTTTCGTTTTGCTATAGAATTACAACACAATGGAAACCGATACCGCGACTTTTGAAAGTTTAAAACTTTTATTTGTTGTTGTTATAAATAATGTTTGGATCGTGTAGAATGAGCAAATGTTGAAGTTCAAAATAACTTAGCTCCAATATTTATATCTCAATTAATTTATCTGCAAAGCACACATCTCTCTCTTTGTATGAAACTGAACTCCTTGTTTCCTTTATATTCTTGGTAGGAAAGTGTTTGGTACGTGGTACTGGTGCAACGGGCTGGTATCTTGACAATTCTGGTATCTGGCAACTCGACGACTAGGCGCCTATTTTGCGTGTGGTGGTTGCAGGGTCCTACTCGTGCCACCCAAGCTCGTCCAGGAATCTCAGCAGCCTCCTTGGTTTGCTGAAGGCTTCGGGGAGCGACCTTGGCAATAATATAAATTTAGCAGTATATATAAATAAGCACTATTTATAATTGCAGACTAATCTTTTACTTGAAGCAACAATGTCATTAAATTATACAAGAAGTTGTTTAATATAACTTGATTCCTTATAAAATATTCTGAGCATTTGGTTTGGAGCATTCACTAGGTAAACCCTGTGTCGCGGGTGCCATGGTCACACACATCATAGACAACCATAAATTACACTCAAACATACGAAAGAAATAAATGTCGGCCATACAAATATTTCTCCCGGCCCGGGAATCGAACCGTTCCGTAACCGTTCGGCCACAGAGGCAATTAAATCATATGTTAATCTCTGTCCCGAGATTACTGTGACAAAAATTACTTCACAATTTTGTATGGCAATTTATATAGCATTTATAACAGTCGCAAGAAGAAACAATATTTTGTATTCAAATATTTTATCAGGTCACTGTAATCTAATGGTAGAGACACCTGTGTGCATTGCCACTGCGACCATCGCCCTGAGATTTAAAAGTTGATGAGTCCCATGTGCCTGTAACATCAAGATATTATTGTGATAATGTTATGTAGAATTAGAGACGAAATGTCATTTATTTGTTAGAAAATTATTCTGCCAAATCATTACGGTGAGTACTGCGCTCCGATTGACCAGCCCGAATTCAAAACAATTGACGGGTGTCGTCAATTGTTTCACTTCAAAAGGACCAGTTTAACGTGAGCTTTGCTATAATGGACGAAAATTGAAAAATTACATTTAATATTTACCGCTGAAATGTAATTCCGTTGGTTTTGTAATTAGATGTTTTGCTGTTTTTCACACACCACCGAATAGAACAGCACGGCATTGTTAGAGGTATTATCTTTATTACGATATATACAGAATATTTTTAAAATATACAGAGACGTACACACAGGTCAGTTGTTGGCGCTTTACTATTTCAGCTTTCCAGTTTGTGATTTCAGTGCAAACGAGAGTGAATATTTAAAAGTGATATAAGGCCCAATTGCACTTCTTTGTTAGACTTAGATGTTGCCCACTTTTCATTTAATTTTGCAGAAAAGCTTGAGATTTTCATCTTGAGATCTCTTAAAGACTCGTCTGAAGCTTCAGTGATATTATGTTTTTTACATAAATCCTCAAAAAATGCGATTGATTCTTTCACTTTTCTCACGTTTCAGCCATTCTTTGATAAATTCCATATTCGTCATGGTTATAACACGTTCTGACAACAAGAACAACTTTAATTTTAAAATTTTACTTGCGGGGCTTTTCGGGGTCTAAAATATATATGAATCTATACTTTAATATTGTATATATAATAAACAGAAGTATCTAGATGGATACATTTGGATATAAATAGTTGCATTCCTTTAAAGTTTACAATTTAGGAAAAATATGCAGGAATTCTTTATAGATTTTCAAACTCACGTTACATCAAAAATATTCATGCTATTTGTAAAAAAAAATTATAAAAAGTCTACATATCTTCAACAGAATATTCCATCACAAAAAACACGTTTCACTTTGCTACCAATTTTAAGGGATGCTTTCACAGGTGTGCTAAAAATACAACTGATTTGCAAATGCAAATCTAGCTCCGAAATCACTTACCTTTCACATCCGATAAGTACTGTAATTGACTTAAACAGTTCTTGGAATTGGGTACCTGTGAAGGGTTGTTTACAAGTTGTTATCACCTGTTCCTGGAAATTAAGTCATGAATTTTGTCCCGCTCTCTTATACTAGACGAGACACTGTGCCTTGGGAATACATTTCTATGGGTGACATTAGCGCAATAACTATATACGCACATAATATTAACTTTACAACTAAGTCCAAACTCATGGTACCACGATTTCGCTTAACTAAGGTAAACGATTCTTTTATGGGGAACTGTATACGTTTTGTACAATAAGATTCCGGAACATATATTAAGATTATCATTTCCTAAGTTTAAAACTTACACTAAAGTACACACATCAAAAGTGTCTAGGGATCAATAATATAATTAACCCTAATTGCAGCAATACTCTTAAACGTACTTGATCCCTAGACACTTTTGATGTGTGTATTTTAATTGAAAAGTCATATTACAAAATTGGAGAGTATGTTTCAGATAAAGAAGTATGGAAAGACAACAAGAGTCTAGATTCCACACAATTATGATTCAAAGTGTATTATTCCATAGCATTTAAGTTTATTTGAAAAGAGCAATCCCTAGAGTTTCTAGCTCGTTCTTCTCAAGGAGGTCAGCGTAGTGAATAACGTTTTCAAGTGTAAACATTTTACCTATGGATTAAATGATTATTTAAGTTTGACTTTGACGCTTTACTCAACGCGGCATGAGTGAAATAAATAATATTTCAAAATGAACTGATTTAACTTTAAGAAGTTAAAAAAATAGAATAGATAAAAAAACGCGCGATTGCATCGCTACACTTGCGATTTATAGGCGATTGCATCGATGTGTGTTCGCGCTCATTTTGAAGAAATAATTGCCCCTAAAGTCCGCATCATGACGCAAATTCATAATCTTTCTTATCAGCGTTTAATTCGTTATAATTAGAAAGTGCTCGATAAGCTAACACATATGTGTTAACACCAACTACAGATGTAGTGTGAGCTAATCCGGACAGTCGCATTCCAATTACTTTTGCTACGTTTTAATAAAAAATTATATATTTATTTCTAGTAAATATTAAGATTATTACAACACGAGTTAATAGCTACTTAGCAATAATTTCATAAATGATTTAATGAGTATATTGTTTGCCTACTCATATTTGTTGCTCATTATACCTACGCAAAATTTTCGCTAGATACCTGAATTCATCAAACAATCACGTAAGTAAAAATCCATTATATTCTTCTTACCTTAATTAAGACTTGAATATCTCTTTTTTTGCTAATTATAAAAGTTGTTAATATACCTAACATTTTTTTGGTCGAGTGGTTTGCAATCCGGTTTTCATGGTGTTACTAGCTTTGAGGTCACGGGTTCGATCCTCCACCGGGTCAATGCAAAAAAACTAACTTTTCCATATTGTCTCGGGTCTGGGTGTCTGTGTCAGTGCTTGAAATCATACTCAAGTCTACTCAAATCCTGACTTGAGCATTGAGTACAGTTCTGGAATACGACCCTTAAAATAGTTGCACGGATGCAATGGAAACAATATTATTTTCAGTTTTATTGTCTTAAATGTCTTAATTTGTAATTATTAAAACTTAAGTTGAACTTTTTATTTACATATATCTCTTCAATATTTTGTTTATTTTTTTTTTATTTAATAGTATATAGGAAATAATTTCTCGTTAAATAAAAGTAAATTATGACAGCGCCATCTATATGCTCCTTGGCGACACTAAGAGTTGACACTAGACTATTATATTTATATTCCAAATTCATAAGGTGACTGTGAAGACACAGCTTGTTTTATTTATTTTTCTTCACGAAGTTGCGGAAAAATAATTGAAAACGTAATTTTAGTAGATTTCATTATTACACAGTTTTCTTTTTTTGGCAGTTGAAATTCTCTGAATGTAAACAATATTAGGTACTTTAACATTATACTACGATAGAACTATTCGGAACATCAAAAAAGAAAGAGATGGCATTGTACAGTGCATATAGCGTTATTTCTTTCCTATTTTTAGTTAGGAATAAACAATATTGGAAAATCATTCGTTCTTTGAGTCACTTTAGCAATAATACATTACTTGGTTGATAGGGTTGTCATGGTACGAATACAAGAAATATTATAGTAAGCTTAATAAAAGCTTACAATGAAATAAGATTGTTTTTTGAAAGGTTGTGGAAGACCCCCAGGGAAGTACTGCCACTTTACTTATTTCTGCCACCAAGCAATAATGTGAGCATTACTGCGTTCTGGGTTTGAAGGGTAAGGGTGCTTGTGAAATTACAGACACATGGGACTTGTCAACTTATGTCTCAGGGTGACGGGCGCAGTGGCAGTGCCCCTCAGATCTTTGCGATTTAAAGCTGAGAGTGGCACTGCAACTGAAATGGACAGGTGTGTCGTTTATCACCAAGCGCACGATTTGTTCGTCCTGTCACTTGGTATCATGAAAAAAGGCATTGCCGTGATGCTCCCAATGGGCGCCGGACCTAATAGTGCTAACCTTTATATCACTTAGTAAAGTTTATACAAGACTTGTGAAAAACAATTTACATTATGTAATTCAAATGTTTTTTGATTTCTCAAATTAATTAACGATAAATTTTACAGATTAAAATGTACGATGACGTAGAGAGAGTGTCGTGGTGTCCCTTTATGGTATCGCTTAAACAAAATATCAAAAGAAGAATAAAACTTTGTGGTGGTACAATATTAACCGATACTTTAACTCTAACAGCCGCTCATTGTGTTATTTTGTAAGTGTATTTTATAATTATATGTTTTGTCGTATTTTTTTATCTGCCGTTCATAACTAAAACGTGGCTAAGTGACAAATGGACAAATATCCCTTTTTAAATAGCAAAATAAAGACCATTTCAATATTCTAAAACTAGGTTATGGTTTTCTTCACTTCACTTTGCAGCCTTTTAGTCAGCAGACGGCAGATATAAGCAGTGGCAGCTTAGTGGGAGTTCGACGTTTCGAGGCTTGTAAAGGCCTAGTACCTATGATTTTAATTCGTAAGTTGCGCATATTCTCGGTGTGTAGTTCCCAATCCGCAATGTTGAAATGTCTTGAGCAAGATCTGTTTGTAAGAATAAGTATATAGATTTTATTCTCATGGAAAACATTTGCAAGAAACTTGACCTAAAGTATTCCTGGCTGCACAATATGACTTACCTCGTAGTATTAAGGGCGTAAAAGCAAATGACAAAATATACAAGCGTATAACAAAGATGTGTAATATTTTAGTTATTATCTTTTTATTTTTGAAACTCTTGTACGTAACAATGTCAGTACATCCCTTAGTTTACCATCCTTATAGGTGGAATATTTCATCTGAAGTACTCTCTTTCCAATAAAAAAGAATCATCAAAATCGGTTCACAAATTCGTGTTATCACGTAACATACATAAAAAAACACACTCGAATTGAAAACTACCTCCTTTTTTAAAGTAGGTTAAAAAATTCTTGTTTATAAAGATTCACCTTAAAAGAGCAAATATATTTAAACCCACTACATTACGCCCTTTCTTTCCGAATTATAATCTTTATTACACAAAGAAAACACAATTAACCGAACGGTTATCATGCTGGCCTGCCACGTAGAGGTCCCGGGTTAGATTCCCGGGACGAGAGAAATATTTGCAGGGCCTACATTTATAGTTCTCATGAGTTTGGGTGTAATTTGTGGTTGTTTATGTTTTGCTCATCATAAAGGATATGTACAAAGGTGAGCTTAACTCTTAACGAGATCTCTTCCATCCAACCCTAGCTGCGGTCTACATGTAATCTACATGTAAGAGAGAGAAAGAATTCAGAAGAGTAGTACTGCATTGTTACCCGAAAAAAAACCGCGTTGTCCGCTTACAACATATTTAGGTAACAATGGAAATTACATAATTTTTTACGCTCTGAAATCGCGTATATTTGTTTTCTTCAAACCAGTTAGCCGTAACCTACAGGCATCGAGTATATAACTAGAAATAGAGACGAAATGTCATTTAATTTGTTTGAAAACTATTCTTATATATAAACTATATTATATATTTTAAACTATTGCGCTCCGATTGGCTAGCCCGAGTTCGAAACAATTGACGGGTGTCGTCAATGGGTGTCGTCAACTGTTTCACTTCAAATCAACCAGTTAACTTGAGCTTTGCTATAATGGACGAAAATTGCAAAATCACATATTTAATTACCGATGAAATGTGATTTCGTTTATTTTGTAATTATATGTTTTGCTGTTTTTCCCACACCACCGAATAGAACAGCACGGCATTGTTAAAAATATTATCTTTATTACAATAACTACAGAATATTTTTTGGAATATACGAAGACGTATACACAGGTTAATAGTTGGCCTGTCTATATTTCAGTGCAAACGAGAGTTGATATTTATAAGAGCTGTATTGCTAATGTGTTACCAGGATTATATGGCCCTTATTTCGTCTCTATTTCTGGTTATATACTCGATGCCTACAGGACGTGTAAACAGCCCGAAACGATGATTTGTTTGAAAAAAACAAATATATGCGATATAAATCCAAAAAATAGTTTCATTTCCATATTTCTGCCGTACTTTAATTAAAACGCGGCTATGTAACAAGATAATTTTTGAGATATCATAAAAGACCATAACTCAGTTTTAGATTATTGAAATTGTTTAATGATATTTTTATTTTTATTATAGATATTGGGGTCAGTTGCAACGTGTCCCAATTTTTAAATAACTTTAACTGTTTTTAAATAGAGAATTTTGAGCTCTACGTTATCGACTGTACACTGGGAACCGATACTCAATTTTGACAACTTTACAGGATGAAGAAAAAATCATTTATATAGCATCTGGTGGATTAAATAAAAATACGTAGTGTACGTTTATACCTGTGTGATGAAAATATTTAAAAACCAATCATATCTAATTTAGATAGCCAATGGCGCGTGCTTATTTAAATTTTATCGCGCGCGTCGCGACTATCATGCGTAGCCATGCTACGGGGGCAGATGCTATATAAATGACGCAAGCAATTTTTTTCTTCATCCTGTAAAGTTGTCAAAAATGAGATAGTACCGATTGCGACTTCACAGTCATTATGCTATTTAAAACGGATGTTTGACCACTTATCACTTAGCCACATTTTAGATAGTGGACGACAGATTTCCCGGCACTATAGCGGGCATGCTTATCACAGCAATGCCGGACATAAGGGCAATCTAGCCTTCCTTGCTATCTATCGTACCAAGATGGCATTGAGACTGGCTCGCACTTTGCCCACTAATGATGAGCAAGATTTGTACGTGGTCATATAAAAGCAGTATGTGCTTGCTGCCGCAAAGATACCCGATGCTTCACAAGTGCGAGGCAGCCCAAATATCTAGTATAATACTCTAAAATTACAGTTATCTAGATAAATGACCTCAAATTTATGTTCCAGTGGTGTCACAGGACTTTACCTTCAATTTGGAAGCACTTACGTTTTTGGTGGCAGAATGTTCGAAGCAACAAACATCACTCTTCATAATTTTTTTGACAGAAGCGCTTTTGCGCATGATATAGGTCTTGTTAGTATTTTTCCTGCAAAACTCAGTTTTGGATTAAATGTTTTGCCGGTAAAACTACCAAAGAAGAACTTGGACATTGAATCAACGTCGTGGCTTAGAATTTATGGATGGGGTGCGACCTCGGTAAGTTTGATCACATAAAAAACATCATATCGTTACTTGAAAATTTAGCAGCATACAGCTAAACCTAATAAGTAAAAAATTAAGTATTTTCTTTTCGATCTCTGTTCTTCAAAAGCTGCGATGTACAAAAAAATGGAAATAATCGATTTTAAAACACGGGAACTAGGTACCTGTACCTAATTATCCTCTCTCTAACTCTATTTTTCCTTTATATAAGTTTAAATTTCGAAGAATTTGGATGCCGTAGTAGCCTAACGTTTCGACCCACCGCCTCAAGCAGAGGTTGTGATTTCAAATCTGAGCTTCTCTGAGTTTCTCGAAATTTATGTGCGAAATTTACCAGCTTTTCGGTGAAGGAAGACATGGCGATGAAACCTGAAGGTTTACAACCCTGGGAAAACGTACGAAGTCCACCACCCGCATTGGGTCAGCGTGACGAACTGTGGCCTAAACCCTCCCCAGAGAGAAGACCCGTGGCCCAACAGTGGGACGTATAAAAAGGATCGTTGATGTTCAAACTTCAAGATTCTAGGTTTGCAAGAAGTAAAAAAGTGTATAAATGACAAAATTAGGAATAGGAAATGAAACTATTTATCCGGATTTAAATCGCGTATATTTGTTTTTCAAACAAACCAACGTTTCGGGCAGTATACAGGTCCCATGGTCACGGTTGACTGAGGTGGTACAGTCATGAACCAGTTATGTCTAATATTAATGCAAACCACCCTAATTTCAATAGGGAAGATGGTTTTTCCGTACCACCAGTACTAATTAATATGTTTTAATTTATTCTAATTTGTATTATTAAATAATACTAAATTTAACTTAATAAAAATTCATATTGTTACAATAAAATAATTTGTAAAACGATGTAGCGTAAATTGGTATGTTTCTTTGTAAATTTAAAAATAAGGTATTTAATTAATAACTTTTGTAACTATTGTGAAAAAATAGGGTAAGTAGTTTGCATTAATATTAGACATAACTGGTTGAAGACTGTACCACCTCAGTCAACCGTGACCATGGGACCTGTAAAGGGCCCGAAACGTCGGTTTGTCTGTAAAAACAAATATACACGATTTAAAACCGGATAAATAGTTTTATTTCCTATGCGTAACAATAGCGAAAACCTAAAAATTACGAAGATTTTTATTATTATGTACCACATTCAAAGTATTTTTTATGTTCAAATATTGTAATTCAAGTGTTCAGTACAATAAATACTTCAGATACCAGAAATTTCAAACTGGGACGACAAAGGTAAAGAGCGCAGTCAAGCTCTGAATTGCTTCGGGAAAAGGATGTACTGTAATGTGAACTCGACTGTGGCTAAGTCAGAGGATGTACATGTTGACCAGAGTATCTTAGATTAGGCCAAAGTTAGATTGTGCATATATTATTAAGGAAATGGGGAACCCTAACATATCCTAACATTTTTCACTATTATAATAAGCTGTAATATCATTGACTTTGCTAGTTACACATTTAAAAAGCACACGTATCATTGCGTGTAGTGCCCATAATATGAGAAAAAAAAACGAAACTCGATTACAGACTGACCATGAAATTATCAGTTGTTATTTATAACAATTTTGAATTAAAATACGATAATATGCTTAGGAAAATATTAAAGCAAAATCAGAATCAAAACAATGAAAGTAATTTATCGGGATTTTTACCGCATCCCTTTCTATTTATATCCCGTCAATTAATAATCGCTGTAAAAGCTTTAAAATTTAATAATAATAACGCACACACTCATGGCCCTGCACTAGGGACTCCCTGTGTCGCGGGTGTCATAGACTCATATACAAACAACCACAAATTACACCCAAACTCACGATAGAAATAAAATGTAAGCCATACACCTATATCATCCGGACCTTGAATCCAACCCGGGACCTCTGCGTGGCAGACCAGCATAGTAACAGTTCGGTCACGGAGGCAGCTTTAAAAACTAAGTTATAGATGTATATACATACATGCAGTCCTGTCTATAGACACAGCGCCATATTATGATAGTGATAGAGTATATTGATGTTCAATTCGTGACGATATACAGCCATATAATATTTATGTTATAACACTTACATCAATATGATAGAACCTTTATTGCTTTTTAGGAGCATCAATCGTTTTCAGAAATATTGCTCTCAACTATGATGCCTTTGGTAGACGAGAAAATTTGCAAATCTCTACTTGACAATGTTCCCGAAAACACTTTCTGTTTGGGATACTTCGACGGCCATGTTGATGCTTGTCTCGTAAGTAAATTTTATTGTCTATTAGTCCTATAGTACAAATCTATTGATCGTAAAACAATTTAGTAGCACTTGAGCTACTTGTGGAAGAATTCGTTCAGAGAAGTACTGCTACTACACGTATTCTTACCGCCGAGGTGTAATGTAGGCATTACTGCGTTCCGGATAGAAGAGTGCTGGTAAAACTGCATGTCATCAGAGCACTTTTTTTCTAGCATACCGTTCCAGACGCTATAGCTGTAAAGGTATCTAACTGGGTGAATAAACTTTCATAGATTTCTCATAGATGGCGTTACGACTAAAAAGTCATTGAAAAACCAAATACAAAGACACGACGCAAGCACATAGAAAAATTCGTGAGGTCCGCTGGTTCGTTCCGTAGTATAGTTGGTATAGCGTCTGGCACGGTATTCTAGCAGACGTCGGTTCGAATCCGGCCGAATTGAAGGAATTTCTTCATTATATTTATGAGATTTTTCAATAATATATCTAATATAATTAAATCACAATTGACAAAATGACTTTTGATACATTGCTTTTAAAGTAATAAAGAATATTTACAAGTTACAAATACCAATTGATATTAAATAATTCCAAATGCAAATTGATTTGTAATTGTAAAGACAAATGTGATATATCATTATCATTTGCACACCTGCATGTGGGTTGAATACAATGTACCTAATTTTACTCAAGATCCGTATAAATACTGTATTCTGGCAAATAAACGTATTCTATTCTATCCATTCCAAGGCGAACTGCTTGAATTCCTTGCCTGCAGACTTATTTCCTGAACGCTATAGCTTGAGATTTTTCAAATATACTCCACACAACGTCCATTAATGTCGGTTTGCTTCAATGGCGGCGTTCTTCGTGAATTTATGCTATCGCAGTACTTACAAGATTATCAGCTTTATTTCGAATCTATTTTCACGAGTAATTAATTTCGTGTCGTACTATTCACCCCTGAACAACTTTTCCTATGAACACAAAATTAAATAGCATGTCTGTCTATTTAAAGGCGTTATCTTGTTTAATCCAACTGCAAAATACTCCACTGGCCAAAAATCTATTTAGCAACAAAATAAACGCGTTTAAAGCTCGCCCCGGTTTCCTGTCCTATTCAATTTTCTATACATTAATTTATCTTGAGACCATCATTATAACTGCTCACGAAGCCGTCCGAAACCCATTAAGTGGTGGTAGTTTTAATGCGTAAGTACGTAGGGATAGATTTAGTTAACAATTTGTCTCCGATGGCTTTACTACGCTTTACTCTTAAATGCTTGTATGGATTTACTACCCGATAAAGGAACATATTTCACTGTTAATGCAGTGTATTTGCTCTAAAAGTGTATTTTTTTGATGAAAAATGAGTTACTCACCTTCCAGTGGAAGATTATTAAAATTTATCTATGGTTACCTATCAGTACTCCTAGTCCGAAATGACATTTTCCAGAAATAACGTTTGCTCGAATTTTCATAACCTCGAAAGTAATTTAGAGAGGAAAATGTTTTTTTCTTCTAAACCTAACTTAACCTAATCGAACCGAATCTAATCGTGGCTTTACGATAAATATCCAACACATCCTGAAAGAACAACGGATTCGTTATAATTCGGTTTTCGGTGTAATGAAATTTCGAACAAATGTTATTTCGGAAAAAAGAAATTCCAGTTTGTGATGTTACCTTTGTATAGGTATAGGTAAAAAATATGTTATCACAGACGTCTAAACAATTTCCTACTACTTGTAATTGTTTTAAATAGACCGCTTCCAAGGTGTGGAAAGATCTTCCCCCAACCGTGCGAGACTGTCATATTTTATCATTATATACTTTCCGTAAGAAATGTCTTAATTGGTTATTGCCCACGCAAACCTTGGACATCGGCATTGTAGTGTAGTTTTGTATGGATAGTGCTCTGTGTGTAATAGTAATAAGTATACAACTATTCATTTGTATGGTAGTAGAATAATAATGTCAGTTTTTCTTTTTTATTAACATAGCAGGCTGTAGCAGAATATCAGCGGCATTGTGAAACAATCTGTCATGGTACCGAACTACAGACCTTTTTATCTCACACCATTATTGTTGTTACTAAGCACTGAGTAGAACTTATATTTATTTTTACTTATTAATGTATTGAGATAAAAAAAGCATTTTATTGTTATTATTATTATTATCTATTTTAGATTTTCGCCTCTCCCAAGGCCTGAAAGATTAATTTTGAATTTTATTATTATCATTATCACTATCACGATCACTATCACTATCACTATCACTGTCAATGTCACTGTCACTGTCACTATCATTATTATTATGATTACTTGCAAGTTGCAGTTGCAAGTTTATTTAAAAATAAAATTGAAATAATGTCAAGTTTTTAAGTAAGAGCTGTTTTGGATAGAACTAGCTAACTAGCTAACCAAATAGAGTTGGTCTAATTTTGAGTTAAGTAATAATAATAATAATGCACACACTCAATATAGTCCCGCACTAGGGAAGCGCTGTGTCTCGGGTGTCATGGACGCATACATAGACAACCACAAATTACACCCAAACTCACGAGAAAAATAAATGTAGGCCATACAAATGTTTCTCCCGGCCCGGGAATCGTACCTGGGACCTCTGCGTGACAGACCGGCATGGTAACCGTTCGGCCACGGACGCAACTTAAGTAGATATCTTTTAATTGTTTCTTGCAATATTCTAACGACGGTTTTATTAACGTATTATACGTGCTATAATAGCTAAATTAATTTTACGTTCAGCATTGGTACAATCTTGAATTTCACGTATTTCGAGTTACAACTCTATTATAATGGCAGTGCGATATCTTTCAACTAATGCGTTGAAAAATTAAGTTTTAGCAGTAGACGTCTGAATGTTTTTTAGTTCTCATTTTTATTGGTTACATTTCGGAGAGTGTGCAAGAAATTCTCAATTCTGTCCCACTAACACCTTTCCTCCTTCGGTTAATTAGAAAGTCCGGGACAATCTGTCCTTATGTCCTGAATATACCACTTACTCGAAGCATTTTCGTTCCTCCTTAAAGGGAATAGCAAAGGAACGAAATATACTACCGGCATTATGTTTACCGAAAAGTAAAACTTTGGAGCTGTCCAAGGCTAGGTTGAATAGGCATTTTCTAGACAAATGCGTACCATCGTAGGTCACACCATTGATTATAAAAAAAGCGTTTTTGGTAGGATTATTTAATTTTAGTATCAATAGAGCTCCTTGTCTTTGACAACATAAAGTGTTTAACAAATAGAGAGCTTTATACAAAACACAATCCCACAAAAACCACTGAGAAATTATTCAACATAACAATCAAATAATAAAAACAAAAACAATAGACAAATATGCAAAAGTGAGGCCGTCATCGTCAGTCATAGTATGTTATGTTTTAAATGAATTTTTTCTGCTTTGTTTGTTTCTCTTTTTCTTGTGTGGTAGTCAAATAAAAGTTATTTTCTTTCTTTCTTTTCATTAACAGGACACGTATAAAAACTCAAGATGTAAAGCGATAGATTTAACACGTTGCCATTAAAAATTTGCCTAATTGAAGGTACAATAGTCAATCTAGAAAGACACCGAATGTCCAGGGAAGCCATCTTGCCCATTTCTACCGCCAAGCAGCAGTGTGACCCTTACTGCGGTAGGATTTTGAAGGATAAGGTGCTAGTAAAACTGTAGTCTCATGCAACTTCTCAACTCCATGTTCCAGAATGACGGGCGCAGTGACAGTGCACCTCGGTTCTTTACGGTTTCTTGCGATTGCTTAAAACACTGAGTGGCATTGCAACTGTTATAGGTAGGCGTGTCGCTTACCGCCAGGTAATTCTTTCATCTCGTCACTTATTGATACGAAGAAAAAACTATGAGCACTTTGTAGTTCGCTCAAAAGACGCTAGATGGCTGGTTTTAAGTACAATCCTAAATCGCGATGTCAAGATTTTCTTTCGAACAGTGACTATTCCAACCGAATTTTGATTATATGAGATATACTACGCAGCCACTGAGAGGTGGTGGCCTTGTTGGAATAGCTTTTTAATCCCTGATGCAGAAATAGAAAAGTTATAAGTTTGAAGATTTTGTCTGTGTATTTGTGCCTACCTGTCTGGGACATTGTAGCTCCCAAAACGGATGGAGCGATCTTAAAGTGTTTTTTTATAAACAAAAACAAAAATTATCAAATACCAAATAAAACAACCAAAATTGGAAATTCAACTTTGTCTGGATTCAATGGCCTGGAGTCAATGCCACTTGATTTAATTTTTAATAGACAGACTAATGAGTGATGATAAAATTTCACTCAGCTGAGTTGTATTGGAAAATGCAACGTGTTATATACATGTGCAGCGAACTGGTCGGTTGCGGTACTAATGACTAAGGAAATCGCACTTGTAAGTGTTAATTAAAAGCAAATAACGGTCACACTATGTTGAAAAAATACAGGTTGAAATGTAAACCTACAAGCATGTTAAAAAATGTGCCTAGAATAAATATGTATAAATTTAGAATTCAAAGCAAAAAACTTGTATGACTACGTTAACCATTTTCAAAATGAGATTTTTTTTCTGGTGGTAAGCGTGTCCATATCAGTGGCAGTGCCACTCATAACTTTAAATTACAAAGATCTGAGGGGCACGGGCACTCTGCTTACTTTCACCTTGAGACATAACTTAACAAGTCCCATGTGCCTGTAATTTCACCAGCACCCTTCACAATCGGAACGCAGTAACGTTCACATTACTGTTTGGCGGCAGAAAAAGGTAAGGCAGCAGTACTTCCCTGGACGAACTCTTTCACAATAAGCTCTATTGCTACTAAACTAGGGTAGTGCACCGAAATGTATTCTGTTACTCTGGTATTCATACTGCAGGGAATTGCAAGGACCAGATTATTGGTGTGGTGTTGTAAGGCTTAGTGTTCTATTTAATATTATTAATCATACCCACAAAGAAACAGACTTATCATTTTGCTATAACGATGCCCATTTGCCGTAATAACAGAAAGGAATTCCTGACCTAAGGATCAACTCTTCGTAATAACCATAAAGTCAAAGGGCACGATGAAACAATGGACCTACAGCACCGAGTGCAATTTATCCGTTCGATCATATTTATATGTTGATGCGAGGCTCCTAAGGTTGTTTTTCCTCCAGAGATGTGCAACGTAGCGAGGCGGTATGCGAGGAAAAGTCCACCAATAGGGTTACTTAATTTTTCTAGCCTCGCTTAACGCAGCTCCGGTGGAAAAGGGTCAGCGGAGCTAAGAATTTATAAGGATAGGAATTCTATTCGCTCAATCATATAAAATCCTGAAAACAGGCGAAAATTAAAATTTAAATCGAATTATTTTAATTTTGCGCATAATTTTTTTGTGGTGATATTTCTCAAAATTTACAATTTGCCACGACGCGTCGCCCGCTGCCTCTTCAGTCGCCTTCGGGCGTTTGTCGACATCGGATTCGTATCAAATTTTCTCCGCCTGTTCTTATTTTATTCATATTAATTTACACCGCGCGTATTGCGATATGCGAACGGCGACCCCTCACATTTCACTTCCTAAAATCTAGGCTCGCGTTAAAATAAGCCTTATGCTGATCAAAAAGACTTTATCGTTTATGTAATAAGAGTGTAAGTGACGTCTGACCGCAGATGCGAAGCGCGCAATGTCTGTTTCACTGTTTTTGTATGGATTTAAAACACCTTCTGACCAGCTCATGTCAATTGCGCATAAAATGTGTAATGACGCCTTGAGAACCTGTGTTGCCTCGTCAACTCGCATCAGACTTTCCATACACGCCCGTTTATTCTTGATACTTTTAACTTGGCCTCTTTAAGGGCATCCCCAATCTGATCGAGATCTAATGTCACTTCCATCATTTACATCTACATTCTATTTATAAATTTGTACCGTCAATCTACCGACATCTACCCTTTCTTTATGCCCAATTCATCAAATCAAATCAAAAGGTTATCTTTTTAATCGCTGACGCAAAAATCCAGGAATTAGAAGTTCGAAGTTTTTGTCTGTGAACCTAAACTGTTTCAAAATTAAGATATGTTACCTATTATATACATTTCACACAATAGTTGTGTCCATCAACCAGTTAATGTTTTCAAATGCTCATAGAGAAGGGCCTTGTCCACTTGATTTATTTGTGTGGGTGTAAAAGCTCGAAAGGCTCGACTAATTCTATTTTGCATTGATTACTCTGTTTGTCGTTTAAGTTCGTTACATTGGCTATGGAAGCCTCAAAGGGCTTAGTATAGAAGAAAAGTCTTAAAGAGGTTACAAAATCTTCGAAGGTAACTGAAAGTAATAGTACTAACAATGCACCAGTCAAACTGGGAATTCCAAGTGAGTAGAGCAGTATCTCGAAGACCAGACCAAATTTAAAAAAGTTCGTGCCCAAATTGATCCTAGAATCAGCTATCGCTCTCCATGGTAACCGCTGGATCAGGAAGGTCATCAAACTAGTAAACGAGTAGTCAATCCAGGAGCATTACAACTTGAAACCCAGTCTAAAGTTGAATTTGAAATATCAAATCATTACATTTCCGCGAGCTAATCTCTGGATTTCAAAGTCTGTAGTAATAACAATCTTACAGACTTTAACGCTGTTTTAAGCTCTAATATTAGCTGTACTAAAGATTAACGTTGTCAAAATAAGGGTGATAATGGCAATGCGATATTCATCACATATTTCTGAGCCTTACCTTCTTTAAACAAGACGGTTAAGCCTCTATGGTCATATTGTGGAAGTTAGTGGTCGTTGGTGGTGGATGTGGATAGTTAAGGTCAAGTTAACTGAGTAAGAATAAATGAAAAGGTATGAAAAGACTGATGCTAGAGGAAGAGGCGAGAAAGGGTTCAGGAACTTACAACAGTAGAGATTCATAACCTCTGGTTCAAAGTTCAAAGAAGTAGTTAAAGTTACTCCAAGTAGGCTGTCCTTTGGTTTAGTGGCTAACACCAAGCGAACTGTTAACACCACGCACAGTGGTCACGAATCGCTTTGCAGCTGTCAAAACTTCCTTCATTTATTACTGGCAGTTCAATCTTTTAACTTTCCGTTACTGTTCTAAACTACAGAGTATAAGTATTACGCAGGTAACTACAGTGTATACTAATATTTATTTATTTATATTTCCATTCCTAGCAAGTGAGAAATAGAATTGTATTTGTAAGTTGCATATTTAATAAACCCTGAGGTTTTGTTTATAAATTATCAAATATTTTATGGCGTAGTTGGCTATAGATCAAGATATATCTTTTTACCTTTCGTTACCGTTCTAAACTATACAGTAATTTCATAATGCATGAACAATATCTGCCTTGGTCAAAAGTATTGAGCACCTTTTTTTTTTTTTTTGACGGGGGGGAAATCTTTATGGATACCCCTGAGCCCAGGGAGACTCAGGGGTTATGTGGGGACTCTCCCTCCAGACTGGAGGGCCTACCCCACTAAAACCCCCCCGGGTTTCCCTCTCGCCGGTTGATTCGGCGCCGTGGGATCAGTGAGCATTCACCACGACGAAAAGTATTGAGCACCTTAAGAATTCCGGACATGAACCATAAGCATTTGCATTATATATACATAATACAATAAGCATTGCAGACAATATAGATTTGCTAAAGCAAAAGGCCAAAAACTGGATGTATACAAAACATCAACTATATAACCAGAAATGGAGACGAAATAAGGGCCATCCATCCCTGGCACCTCAACCGGCAAATGGACATTATATCACTTTTAAATATCAACTCTCGTTTGCGCGGAAATTACAAATTAGAAAGCGCCTGCAACTGACCGTCTCCGTATATTCAAAAAATATTCTGTATTTATTGTAATAAATTTAATATCTCTAACAATGGGGGCTATTCCAATCGGTGATGTGTGAAAAACGGCAAAATATACAAAACAAACGAAATTTAAATTTTAATAATTTAAAATAATTTAAATTTTTATTGAATATCAATTCAATAAAAATTTAAATACAGTGAATAGCGACATCTCTTGCCGGGGTTGGTAGCTGTAAAGGTATCTAACTGGGTGACGAAATGCTTTCATAGATTTCTCATAGATGGCGCTACGCCTAAAAAGTCGTTGAAAAACCAAATACAAAGGCACGACAACAAAAAAGAAAACAAGAAAAATTCGTGAGGTCCAGTGGTTCGTTCCGTGGCTTAGTCGTCTGGCACGGTTTGTTAGAAGACGTCGGTTCGAATCCCGCCACATGGAAGGAATTTTTTCTGAGTATTCGATCATTGTATTAATCATTATAACAAAAGTTGTTGTTAATGATATTAGTAATATAGTCCTGGGAGATTGTTAGTGTTTTACAAATAACCGTGCATATCAGCTGTTCTAGAATATGCTAGCATCTCCTTCGCTGCGTCTGTTTAATGGGTAACGGTAGCATAATCAAGAATCTGAGTAAAATTTTATAGAATTTATACATTTGTCGCCAGTAAGACATTAAATCAATTTAGAATTATAAATCACAGCCACTCCCCAGCTCACAGTCGTTTCGTGAGGTGATTTTGGCAAGGAAACTGCGGCCGTTTGTTGCCTACAAAAATTATGCGCACCCATAAAATGTTGTAACGTTTTTAAAGTAGGGACATTAAGAACGATATGTTTGTTGCTTTCTTAACTATCAATTTCGAGGTTGCCAAAGTTTTTGCGGGATTATTTAATGAGCATTGTAATAAAATACTGTTACTTGTTACTTCAAGTTACTTCGTATTATGTAATAGATAATATTAGTTACGCGTGTAGGTATTATTACAACATTTTGTGTGGTTTCAATATTTTTCACGAGTATTAGTACTGTAGAGCGGTTATAGCCCAGTGGCAGAACAGGTGGTTGTCACTTGGTTCTCAGATGCTTCTCACTCAACTACATACCTTACATTCTAACTCCATGTTGATTCTCTATACTGAGTTACTTCTTTTTTTACCGACTCACCTTAGGACCTGGCAGAATCATCAGCGTCGTAGTTCAACTGAACTGAGGCATAATGCTGAGTCAGGCCCTTTCTGCTGACACAGTACACTCACCTCTACACCTGACGCAACATAACACTCCAGATCATACCCGTACACCTGGACTAGCCTTTTTCTTTATGATTACTATTGTACCTATGTCATAAACAAATTCAGCAAATAAACGAGTTATCTATAATAATCTATCTATATATACTTGAGTAGTCAATGGGTCGAATGTCTGGGATATAACTAATTTTTAAGTTACGTGTATTTGTGAACGTTTATCTATGTAACTTCTTCTCCTGGGAGCACCATCTCCTACCGGATGTCGGCTGTCATGTGTACATACCTCTCTATACAGACATTTATTCACAACCCATAAAATATTTCATTCATTTTTCTCCAGGGAGACTCAGGTGGGCCTGCGATGCTGCTTGATGTGCAAGTGGGCATTACCTCATTTGGAGAAGGATGCGCTTTGCCATTGAAACCTGGAGTGTATACAGACGTACGAAAGTACATCGACTGGTTGCACGGAGCCATGAAAACACTACACTGATGAATCGAATAATAATCAATTGGATGTTAGCTTGCTTGGCGAATTGTTAATTGAATCAATGGCAATATGATTAAATTCATTACTTAAAATTAATAGTGCTTTGTTGATACAAGTTACATTATCACATTTAACAACTTTTTCTTATTTCAATAACTTGAGTATATTACTACTGATCTCATCTTACGTACGAAATTCCAATTCTTAAAGCATTTTTTAATGGCACCAAGTTACTTGACGAACATATCATGCGCCTAGTGGTAATGTCTGTCTATAACAGTTGCGGTGCCGCAGGTACACTGCACTGCGTCCGTCACTCTCAGACATACTTTGCCAAGTCCCATGTGACTGTAATTTCACCAACTCCCTTACCAAACCGGAACACAGTAATGCTGACATTATTGTTTGACGACAGAAATAGGTAAGGTTCCCTGGACGAACACTTTCACAAGAAGCTCTACTGCTGTTATGATAATGGGTATATCCTTTCTCTTCTTTTTCTAAAAATAATAACTTTGACATAACAACAATATGAAGTTTATTGAACATCATAATGTTGGACTGCTGTGATATTCAACTTTTAATTATTATTCAATCGAAAATCGGACACTATGAAAAATTATTCCAATCCGGCTGGATTCGAAGCGCCTTTAGTAAGTCAACTTTGAAATAAAACAATCTCGACCTCGACTACCTCGGTAGCCCAATGGTTAACACTATGGGCGCTGGAGGAGAAGGAATACGATTCTCGGGACTAATTTGATGAATAAACTTTTCTAAATTTGTTCTGATCTGGATATTTTGGGTTTAACCCCGTACATTACTCGAGGTTGGAGACCAAGCAACTGGTGTGGTTAAAAAAAATCTAATTTTTGCAACCGGAATGCGAACTAGAGCCTTCTCACATTACACTCAAGGTGCTTCATATCAGTGAGTTCTACCGATAATTCTTTTGGTAGAATAAATAGTTGAATGTTTACTTTCCTTTCAAACTGGGCTAGTGGTACAGTGATTATAAAAACACTGCCGAGTGGAACAGTTTAGCACAAAAAAATTATTAGTCGTTATATTGACCATTCTAATAACCAATGTTTATTTTCTTGTTTTTAAAAACATATAATTTGAAAGGTTTTTATCCGACCAACTTTAGTACCGAAACGGCTTTATAAAAAGCAACGGAGTCGTTATCATTTCGATTACACAAGCTCACATTACGATACGTTGGTAATGACAATCGGAATCGCGATATAAAAAGTCATTCGAGAAAACTATCACGACGACAATACAAGTCATAAACTATATCGATTCTGCAATCATTGATTACGCGTTTTAAAACGTGCTTTGTAAACGTATCGTTGGTTATCAATTATGACGGTTATGATGACCTCTGTGGTCACTTTAGTAGCAGTAGAGCTCCTTGTGAAAGAGTTCGTCCACGGTAATACTGCCATCTTACCTATTTCTGCCGCCAAACAGTAATGTCACCATTACTGTATTCCGGGTTTGAAGGGAAAGGGTGCTTGTGAAATTACAGGCACATGGGACTTGTTAGCTTATGTCTTAGGGTGACGGGCGCAGTGGCAGTGCCCCTCAGATTTTGTGACTTAAAGTTCTGAGTGGCACTGCAACTGTTATAAACAGGTGTGTAGCTCATTATCAGGCACACGACTTGTTCGTCCCGTCACTTGACATTGTAAAGAAAAACACTGGTTATCATGATTTAGCCATGTCTGAAGTCCCGATTTTTATCCGCGGCCGGGTTAATGTAAAAACTATTTTTTTCTATATTATCTCCAGTCTGGATGTTTGTGATACCGTTGTTGTTTCCGATTGCCACCACATATTTATGCTTTAGTTACTAACTTTGTTGTCAGAGCATCGTATATGATGTTATTCTAATTTTATTTATATTTTTACAGTTTTTTTTTAAAGTTGGTAATTGGATACCTTTATGAGCAGGTTACCAAATTCTCATCATCATCATCCACAGCCCGACTTCACCCACTGCTGAGTCTAGGCCTCCCGTAGTTTGTGCCATTCAACACGATCCTGTGCTAGTCTCAGCCGTCTACTGCCCGCAACATTGGCAACGCCGTCCACCCATCTCGCTACTGGACGTCTCACATTACTATGTCCATTTCTTGACCACCTCAACTTAACAAATTTATTTGATAAGGTTATGAATAGATAGATCGAACACACAGAAAACACTTCGAAGACCCGGTGGGACTTAATCTACGACCATGCCTTACTCAATAAATACATTTGATCGAAAAGCGACATCTGCGTCAATGGTGATACATGTAAAGGTATCCGGTGCGGTGAGAAGATCATTCAAAAATCTCTCAATAGATGTCACTAGTAATAAAAACGCATAGGAGAATTTCGACTACTCGGTAACCGCAATGAACTCGTGGCTCAGATGGTTAGAGCAACGATGGTTACAGCATAGACGTGGGTTCAAGCCCCCACCGCATCATTCATTCACCAAGCATTCATTAATTTATTCATTCATATTTCTGGGAATCGCTTTACGCTCCCACATTTGTGTAGCGAAAGACTAACGAATGGAATTCCCTGTCTGCAGCCTTGTTTTCTCGGCTCTATAACTTGAGATTTTTCAAGGCGAGGGAGAATAGACATTATATAAGTATGCGTGCTCCATCGTCGACCTCATCATCACTTTCCATCAGGTGAGATGGAGGTCAAATGCGCATTTCTATTTAATTAAAAAAAAGTTTTAAAACAACTCAACACAAGTATGGCACAAATTACAAGAAATCAGCATCTCGGGCTTGTTTGTCCGGGATTACTTATGTTGCCACTACCACTTATGAACCGACGTAAAAAAATAAAACGTAAAATTTCATGAGGTACTTTTCTATCAAAGAGCTTTTCAAGAGCACGTTGGAAGCACTTAAAAACATGCCTCGAGCCAACTGTTTTATAACTTGGTGTAAAAAAGCAGTTTTCTTGATAAGTTTTACATTACCTTCATTCTAATTTTATGTATTATGAATTAAGAACAGCAACTCGAAGCAGCAGTATCACTTTACAAGCAGGGGACCTCCTTGTGAAAGAGTTCATCCGGCGAAGTGCTGCCACTTTACATAATTCTGCCGCCAAGCAGTGAAGTGAAATGTAAGGATGCTGGTATAATTACAGGTACATGGGACTTGTTTACGTATGTCTCAGGGTGACGGGTGCTGTAGCGGTGCCTCTTAGTTCTTCGCGATGTAAAGCTTTGAGTGGCTTTGGACAGGCGTATCGATTACCACCAACCTGCACTACTTGTTGGTGTTGTCCTGTTCGTATCATTAAAAAAAACTTCGAGTTTCTTTATGATTATGAATACAAAGATCGAACACACAGAAAAATTTCGTCGATCTGGTGGGATTTGACGCCCATGCTGCACCGTAGCATAGCTCTAACCATCTGAGCCACGGGTCCAGTTACCGAGTCGTCGAAATTGTCCTATGTGTTTTTGTTATAGGTATTTGTACTGACTTTCGGCATTCGTCGCCGCTAGTGACATCTAGTGAGAGATTTTTTAATAATCTTCTCAACGCAGTCGATACCCTTACAGGTATAACAACTGACGCAGATGTGGCTTTTTGATGAAATGTATTTATTGAGTAAGACGCGGTCGTGGGTTAGGTCCCACCGGGTCGACGAAATGTTTTCTCTATGTTCGGTGTATGTATTCATAATCATATCAAATAAATCTGTAAAACTGACAATCTGATGAGTTGAGAATTTGGTATGCTTAAGTTGCTAGACGTGGTGAACATAGATGGAGTAAGGCGATCACCGAATGGTATTCAAGAAAGGGCATACAAATGTGGGACGTCCAGTACCGAGAAGGGTGGACGACATTGCCAATGTTGCGGGCAGTAGATGGGTGAGACTAGCACAGGATCGTGTTGAATGGCACAAACTACAAGAGGCCTAGACTCAGCAGTGTGTGTCTTCAACTAGGTGGAAATTGTACCCACGACCATGCTGCATCGTAGCATTGCTCTTGCCAACTGAGCTATGGGTCCAATTACCGAGTCGTCGAAATCTTTATATAGATTTTTCGGCGAAAATTTTTCTGTGGATTCACTATAGTACCGGCACGCTATGATGGCCGTTGTGACGTTTGTCCGCTCATTAAGTTTCGTATTAATTCACAACTACGTTGAAGGAGCTACTTGATGAACATTGTTGTCAATAGTGACGTGCAGTACAATTTATGGATATATAATTTTATGACACAACTAGGCATTTGTTTTTCGAAATTCGAAATTTAAAAAAATGAAATCTAATACGATACGAGTCACTCATAGAATTGCTGTCCAGCATAACTTTTACCTCCGGTAATACTAGTAATAAATCTAAAAACTTATAGATGCGATACGCATTTGATTATATATTTTTTCGATAATGAATTGAGATTTGATCTCTCTATTGTAATATGACAAAACGGCTACGGCCGTGTACTGTAATGGAGTTATTTCCCAAAAAATCTCAATAAATAAATAAATTCTAGTTTCTTATTCTTTTTCTCAAAGAAATTTACTTTCTAAACATGTACAATGTTTTTGTTTTTATTTTTTTCACGTGTTTTTTTACAACTGCCGAATCCGATGTTTTAATTCATTAAAAAGATAACTATTAGAAAAATAATTGTTCAAGTTATTAAAGGTGATACTTAATAAGTATTAAGGTAATTAATTAAACCAAAGTGTTCGAATACTGGTCTGTAATTTTAATTACAGCTAAATCAAGCATTGTTTATGGTACCTTGTCAATAAAGTATGAAAATTATAAATGGTTTACTTGCTTTATGATCCAGTTCATTTATATCTAAAATATTCTGATACCTAATTCAAAATGTCCGAACATTCTAGACAAAATACGAAGTTATAGATTGTAGCGTGGTAGTAGACAAATGGGAGCTCGGTGGCTTTACAGTATTATCGTGCCAAACCAAAACACTGCACTTTTCAATACAGTGTTTA